GTCCCACCTCTCAGCCCAGGGGAGACAACAAATGTCTGCAGGGTGGAAGAATTTGTGGAACCAATGAATCTGGAGCAAGAGTTGACAACATTATGAAATATCTACTACCTCCCGGGCGGGGGCTGGGGCGGGGGGTGGGGGTCAAAGAAAGAGAGCACCTCATCATTGTTTTTATGGAGTCTGGAAACTAGCCAGAGAAAGAATACACACCGCAGAAGGCCCCCAGGAACCACCCCTCGGGGACCCGTAAGCGAGAGTCAGTTACGGTCTCCACGCCCAATCGCATTTTGTGAACACAGACTAGGTACAAGAGAGACCAAGCGAGAGACAAATTTTGGAAAATGAGACTGCAGAGCAGAACACGGATGGAAGGAGTCCCTTGAGTGTCGGGCTGAACAATACAGAGATAGATATAGAGCAAGACATTGGAAACTGAGGCAGACACCTGTCTCGTCTGAGTCTACCCTGCCTGAGAGCCGAAGCCTGGGCACTTGAATCCAGCTATGTGGTAGCTCTTCACCAGACACGAGGACACGGATGCAGACGAGTATATAAGCTTCTATCTCAGAACTGGCTTTTCAAAGGAATTAATAAGGCTCCTGCGGATGTACGAGGGGAAAATAAATGCTGTTAACAACAATAACGGCTTTCCAGAAATGTCGGTCCAGCTAAATTAAAGGCCTTCTGGCTGGCTTGTTTCTGAAATGCAAAAGGGACTGACTTGTGGAGCAGAGACTCAGGAGAGCCGAGCTGTTCTGTGTAACTCAGCACGAACAACTGAGGACCCTCGGGGTGGAAGGGCATGACAAGCCAGATAAAAGAGAGAGCACGAAGAAGGGGCCGCTGAGAAGCGGGAGGCTGGGATGCTATATGAAGGGAAATGGCCCATGAGAAAGCCTGCACTGATGCAGCGATCAGAAACCCTTTAATCAACCGCTTCGTGTACCGTGTGCTTCAAAGGCGTCCGTATTACTTGGTATAACCTCCCCTATCCTCACCAAGGGGTGCGACAGGCTCGCACTCTACTAGGGATGGTGTTGGGGTGGGGTGGGGGTCTGTGTGGACCTAGAGGCTGAAGACCAAGTTAGGAGATGAGTTCCACCTGAGCAGGTGCAGAAGCCAGCAAGAAAAGTAAGTGGGGAATGGTCAGATGCATCAAGCGAATTAATGCAGAGAAACGAGAGCTCAGAGTCATAGGCCTTCCAGGAGCTGTACAAAAGCGTGGGAAGTGCTTTAAAATCCCGCAGGGTGTAGACTGGGGCTTCCAGACGACGCTATTTGAACTGTGAAGTACAGAAACACCCAGGCGGATACTGGGCTATCTTGAGAATTTCAGGCAAGACCAGACTCTGTCCATTTAGCTAGGTTCTGGCAGTTTTCTGTTAAATTATAAACATTTTCTGACTCATAAGTGGTTATAATTACTTTCATCAGCATGAGCTTTAACATTTGTCTCTTTTGTCCTGATTGGTTAAGCAAGATTCTGTTCTCTCCTTTTTGTGATGCTGTGTGGACTCCAACGTCCCTGCCTTGCAAGGAGCCAGGGTTTCATACTGTGAATCTTTTACTAAGGTAGGACATAGTGTTGCTTTAATACATTCTGAAGAGAAACATAGGGGTTTTTCTAATTTTAAAAATATGTAAAGAGTGTTTTTCACAAGTAGTAAATGTTTCTTGTACAAAAATATTTACGGGATAACCATTTCTTGTGATGTCTTCAAAGTAGTAATTTCTTGGAAAACAAGTTTTTGTAAAATAATTTAAGAGTGCCGCCTGGCCAGGTCTCAGGTCTCCAAAGCCAGATTTCAGATTGGAGTACGTGCTTTTGCCCAAGTTACTTAAAAAAGATTACATACATGATTTTTAAAAATTAAAAATGAGGAATGGAGTGTCTGGGTGGCACAGTCGGTTAAGCGTCCGACTTTGGCTCAGGTCATGATCTCGCAGTCTGTGAGTTTGAGCCCCGCGTCGGGCTCTGTGCTGACAGCTTGGAGCCTGGAGCCTGTTTCAGATTCTGTGTCTCCCTCTCTCTCTGACTACCCCTACCCCCCCACCCCCGTTCATGCTCTGTCTCTCTCTGTCTCAAAAATA